TGATTTATGGCTGGGAGGTGGGAAAGGCAATTGGATTGACGGCCAATTCCTGAGGGGAAGCCCTCAAGGAGAAGGATATGAGGAGGTACCCACTCACAGTGGGGCCCCAGGCAAGTTTTTGGATCCTGAATCACCTTGGTTGCCTGATGAGAAACCCAGGTGACCAGAGTTCAAGTTGGAAAGCAGAATGACAATGAGTCTTCATGATAATATTTAAGGTTCCGACTCAACTCTTTGGAATCAGTTGCTCCTCTTGCCACCTTAAAGCTGGAAATGGTTAGCTTGGAGGTAAGTTTCGATTACAATTTTTCAGATTTTACATTTCAAAGAATCATAATACTTTGCAGATCCTCCGAAACTAGAAAAGGGAAATAAGCTAAAGTTCTCATTGGTGATACTATTTAATGAATTTCCTTGACATTATACACGGGTAGCTGTCCAGTACATAAAATACTTTACAGTACTCCAAAAATTTTCACCGGTAAATTTCCTGAAGACATTCATTAGCAGGTAGAAGAAGGCTGCAAGTGTATATGGCATTGTACCATAATGCAAGCCAAAATTTCAGTTGATAGTTTTGATGCAGCATTGGCACAGACCAAGAACAAATAAAAGGCAACTTTTGGATCCCTCTATATGGACTCAAATAAGGAAGTTGGATTCTCCAGAGATTTGAGGTTGTTGATAACTGTTAAACAATGGTAAGATCGTTGAGAAATTAGCATTTTCCACTTGCTTGTCATTAAAGATGTTGATGTGTTCGTTTGTCTATATTCTGATGTCATGACCTTTTGAACTTTACCAGTAAACTTCAAAGGTAATTTGATAACTTAAGTTTCAAGATATTCTTTTAATTCAAATCTGTGTCTGGAACTAATTTTGGGCTGTCTTTCAACTGGTAGTAGTCATGGGTTAGTTTGGTGTGGGTGTTGGTTAATGTTGAGGGATAATCCTCGCACGCTTGACTTGCTGTGTGCTGCATTTTGAACATGTACATTTGGAAGCTGGAATGAGACCAAGTTATGGACATGGAGATACCTCATTTATTTTTGAAATTATTAAATTGCTGAATTTCATAACTCCGAGTGATACTTCACTCCCATCATTCACTTGGTCCGTATGAAATGAATGCATGATTCTAAACTGCAAAAGCGTGCGTTACTGAGAATAACCAATCTGCACTGAACTTTTTGAAAACATATATTTCCTTCCTTTAAACTGTACATGTGCAAACGCTTTCAGTGTGTTATCTAAATGCCTTCCTAAGTAATTAGGTTGCTGTAATTCAGCACGGTTCTGATACTTGCGTGTTCTGATAGTGGCACATGATTTGGACAGTAGAGAAATAGTTGTGGAGTTCTGTTTGTGTCCAGCCAGCTTCCCAATGTAACTCAATGTAGACTGACAGAATTTTCTAATAACTCTAGCATGCCTTTGAGAGGACAGAACTTTTGAACACTTCTTATGAAGGCAGAGACCCCCACAAATTCCTACATTTTCAACTCAATCAGGACTCGACTGTGATTGAGTCTGGCATACCAAGTGAGATGAAGATCAAGACATTTTCAAAAAATTTGTTTATGTGATTTATGCATTACTGCCAGCATTTATTACTCACCATAATGGTGAGCCACCTTCTTGAACAGCTGTAGTCAATGGGGTGTAGGGACCAAACAGTGTTATAAAAAGGCATTTCCAGGATTTTGACTCCTCAGCAGTCTGAATGGACATGAGTGAATTTCAGTCCAGCCCTCATCCTCAAAAAAATGCATCGATTTTTAAAAGGTTCATTATAAACCACCTTACACATTAGGTTGATAGATGTCTGCGATTCGGGTCAAATGGGTTGGAGCAGGTGAAGTCCTCAGCATCCACCCAAACTTTGTGTTTTCGGTTAACAATACAAATGTAGATTTTTTTTTTAATTTCACCTTGAAGATGGTGGTGAGTTACCTTCTTGAACCCCTGCAGGCAGTGTGCTGACCCACAATGTTATTACAGTATAGTGGCACTAACTTCTTTCTGTACCTACACACTGAGTCCACAAATTCTGGCAATGGAAAATGATGTCTGGTGAAAATTTCACCACATTTACCAGAATGCCATCTTGCAGATCCCACAGGCCCTTAATTTTCAGAATTATTGATGCTGAAGAACACCTGGTTACAAACTGAACCACTCTTACCTGGTTATGATAGAGGAAAACTATGCTTGCTGCCTGTGCTTCAGGCAGTCATTTTGTCAAGCTGTGTGATTTGCTACAGGCTGACTTCCGTAAAACCTTGAGTTTGCAAAGCTCTGTGCAGTTGTCAAAGATAGCAGAGCACTAAGCTTTATGTCAAAGTAACTTTCAGGCTACCACAGGGAACATTGTCTTTGAAAAGGGGAGGCTGTGATATGGTAGTAATCTCTCTGTACTGATAATCCAGAGATCAGGTTTAGCTTCTGGGGACATGGGTTCAAATTTCACCTTCTGCCTTGCTGGGATTTGAATTTCCTTAATAAATTGGGACTTAAAAGCCGGCCTAATGGTGACCATGAAACTGAGGTCAATTGTTGTGAAAACCTATCTGATGCACTTAGGAAAGGAAACCTGCCATCCTTACCTGGTCTGGTCTATATGTGACTCTAGACACAAACAATGTGGTTGACTCTTGGATGCCCTCACAAGCCACACACTTGTATCTATCCATTATAAAAACTGATAAAAGAATGAAAATGAATGGATAACCTGGTAGCAACCAAAGCTCCCGAATTGACAACAGCACACACAGCCCTGGTACCCCTACAGGGACCTCCTCAGTAATATCTGAAAGCTTGTGTCAGAAATGAGAGCCAACCCAGCAGCCTGACATTTTCTGTAAATTTGATTTTGTGAATATGCGTCCCAAACAAAACCATCACCATCCCTTAGTGATGGCGGCAAGTGATATACAATTGGGAGTGAGTTGTCTTGTGTAGAAAAGCAGGACAAATTCAACTGGCCAGTTACCATTCTATCAGTCTACTCTCAATCAATCACAAAGTGATGAAAGGTTTCATCAACAGCGCTATCAAGCAGCACCTAATCATTAATAACCTGCCTACCGATACTCAGTCACCCTGATTTAGAACTGTATTGCTGTCTGTTCGTTTTCACTAGATCAGAATCCTGGATCTCCATCCTAGCAGTGCTGACCGTGTACCTAGACCTCACGGATTGCAGTGGCTCAAGAAAACCGTTCCATTTCCCCTTCTTCCATGGCAGTTAGGGATAGGCAGTAAATGCTGGCTTAACTAGTAATGCTCATATCCCATGAATGAATTTAAAAAGTAAGCTGAAGCTTCGTCTTAAATGAGAAATGGTCGAATGGCTGGGATAGTCCACTATGAACCTTAGATTTTGGCAGTAGCAAAGTTCAAGTAAATTAATTTGAATTAAGGAAGTAGATGTACTGCCTCTCTCCAGAGAGACAATGATGTCCATGTGCAATCCTTGCAATCCATATATGCAGGGCATAGTTCCTGAGGTGTTACTGATTGGTATTATACCAAATTTAATAGTTTGCAACAAATCTCTGACATCTTGTGAAAATATTGTGTAAAACGTCTACTAGTGCATTGGTTGAAGTCATTCTGAAAGCCATCAGATGTCTTTGGACATTCTTTCTGATATCTTGATGCTTTCATATTCACTTGGGATGTCACAGCCTTCAGGCATTCTGCTGATGCCTGGTCTCTTTCTCGCTGTCCACCATCATGTACGGAAATCACCTGAAATTGTTGCTGAATCATAGATCATTTGGTGTCTGGGTCTCCAAGTCTTTAGCTAAGGGTGTCAGTTACTCCACTATCGATGGTGCAATACAAATTTATTTATTAGGTCCATCGTTTCTTCTTCCCGTAGATTGAGAGATATCAGTCACGATGGCAATATTACAGGGCTATGAATGTAATGAAGACTTCCTCATTTTAGTTGGTATATGCCACAGCGATGAGAGGCAAGGTCACCATTTCCCTTGAAGGCTGCCATCAGTCTTTGTGAGATGAGAGAAAGTGCTTGAATAAGGAAGATGATTGAGTCTCTTAAGCATGTGTAAATTTCTGTATTATCTAGATGCTGTGAGAGAATAAAGTATGACTGCAGGATGATTTTTTTCTGCTGTGATATTAGTGCAATTTGTATGGGATAGGATGCAGTGCTGATGCATGTTGCAGTATTTTAGATGTTAGCTAATAGCACAGTGCTGACATTTACAAAGTTTCCCAAAGATCAATAATTGAACACCATTGCGAGTGCTTGTCCTCACCCGAGCACAATGAAATAGTGACGTCCTTGAAAATGGGTCAAGAATTAATTGAGTTAGGAAAATAATTACCAAGTAACATCCTTAAGGAAACATTGGAGAGATACAACAATATCTTCCACCATCCAGAGAAGAATGATCTCCCTTTATGCAGACTTGGCACAAAGTTTTTTTTATGTTAATATTCACCAAAATGTTTTAAAATTGGTCTTCAACTCAGGCCATCCCAGGGGAAACCTGGCTGAGATTGAGAACTCACTATCTAAAGTAAATTGTAGACCCTGCAGCAGACCAGTGCCCCAGTGTAGTGACAGCCTGGGCAATACGTTACAATCAATCACATTTATCAACAAGAGCAACATTTCTAAAATGTTAGTGCAATTTTGAAATGATAATTCATCTTTATTTTATGTCATTTTGTATTTACCAAATTGGACTTCCTGTCTCCCCAAAATTATACCAAATAACTTTTTATAACAATAAGATGTCATCGATTATGGAACACGTGGCCTCAAATAGCAACCAAACTTGAGTCAATTTTTCAGGGGGAATAATATATGTATTTGAGGAAGTATAATACTAAAATTATGGAGCAAGTGTAAAGAGTAGAATATGTAGCTTGGTTGTGGAACTTTGGGTGACAAAGGGCCTGCTTCTATGATGAAGTTTCTATGATCTATTCTAATAGGTTGGCTTATATTTTCTGTCTTTCAGATTCAGGTCAGTCTGAAAGCCCTAGCCAGGAAAGTGAGGATATCAAGGACCAGCCAGAAAATGGTATGTATTAATCTGACATGAAAGATGCACCATAGCAGTATTCACTGAAGAAGCTGGGCAGAGGAACAGCTGTCCTTTTAAAACTAGATTGTCTTTTTGTAATAGTGTTGTAGCAAATTGCTCTTAAACCATTAGGGAATTGATTGTAAGAATTGAATGCCATTAGTCATTCTAAAGAAAGAACTTAAATATAGTAAAGTTTCTTTTGAAGTCTTTGACATTAGGAATGTTAGCTAACAATGAACATTGCAGTTTTATATCTAGTGACTTTCAGTGAAAGCCCTCAGTGACCTTAGCTTTGAATATGGTGTCAAAGCCAACCAAAGTTTTCAAAAAAACAAAAAAAAATCTGATGTGCTGAAGGTCTGATTCTTTAGTACATACCAATTCCTTACTTCTGTGCGATGTCTTATCACTTTGAGATATAAAGATCTTTTAAGCTGTAGAATAGGAAAACATGGCATTTTAATTTTTGTTAGCTGTTGAGTGCCTGACATGAGTGAAAAACATACTTTGTGCAAACACATATTTAACACTCTGCAGTGAAGTTAATAGAAGAAATAATAGGTATTCTTAAACTGAAAGGAATCATTTTTAGTGTGTGCAGCAATTCTTTTTAACAGCATTTACCTCTTTCCAAGCTGAAAGTTTCCAGTGAGGCTTCTAATTCCCATTTGCTGCCAAGCTGAACATTAAAACCTTCATTGGGGAATGTTTGCAATATAATTAACATATTTATGCAGATAATCTGTTGAATATTATCTGATACTAAAGTTATAATGTAGAAATTTGAAATTTTTGTGAAGAAATCCATTGTCATCAGGTTAAAGTCTCTACGAAAGTGAGCATGGTATTTCTCTAGTGATCTAGTAATCTGATATAGCATTAAACCTGCCTGTTTAAAAAAAACTCCATGACGAATCTATTCCAAGATCACTGAGCTTGTTCAGTCATTCTCCGAGGCAAATTTCAGTTCTGTAAAAGAACTATTGCTAGTAATTCAGTTTGGAATTTTTTTTTCAGGTGAAGGAATTGTTTTTAGTAATTAATTTTACCAGACCTCTGGTGATGAAGGTAATGATAGTTAAGGATTTATTTTCAAGAGTCTTGAACTTTTCCTTATCTTCATATAGTTCATCTCATTTGCATTTAAGCTTCTGTTCAGATGTTTTCTACAGTTGTCTTTGTGCCTTGTTGTGGATTGTAAATCAGAGAAATATACTCACCATTTTGATTTGATGAGAAAACATCATTAAATTTGAAAATGTTATGTTTACGTTTCATCATTGCAATCAGTGTGAAGACTTTGTTGAGTGGGCTGCAGTTTAATTGAATCGGCAGTTTTACCTTATATTAATACAATAATTCAGACAGGCCACTGAACAGTGCAGTTAAAATAACTGTTGCTAGTACGGAAATGTATGCCCTTGGCAGCTATATTTAAACATTAAAATTCTTGGTGTTCAGTCTGAAAGGTTACCCACAGGAAATGGGTGGGTGGAGGGATGTTTAATTCTCTGAGGCACACAGTGTAACTGTTGTGCAAATTGCTATTAGCCCCTTGAGTGATGAATTATAAGCTCACTTCAGTAGAGCACTTGCACCTACAATCACAAACGAATTTTCCAGCTGTATTAAAATTCATTATTGGTGTGACTTTGCTGCATATGCTTGAGATTCACGTCAGCTGAGAAAAATGATCATTGCAAGAGTTTGTGCAAGCATCGCTGTCCTGAACTCTGTTAATAGAGGATATTTTTGTTGTGTTTAATGTACTGGATTTGTGTTTTAAGTTAATAAATGGACCTAGCTATGATTTTTTTGTTGATTTTAAATAATTAACTAAACAAGCTTTTAACAGCATCAGGGTTTGCAGCATTAGAAACTGTGAGCAAATCCATTTAGTTGTAACTGTACGCCAATGTTGGAAGGCACAGAAACAGATCCTGGAGATTATGTAACATATATTTTACTAGTAGCCATTGTTATAATTAGTCCAACTAATATTTCAGATTGAAACTTCAGGAGAGTAAAGTGGTTAAGGAATATGGTGAGTAGATCAGTAGATGACATTGAAGAGTAAAACAAATGCTGATTTGATTTATTATTGTCACATGTACTGAGATAGAGTGAAAAGTACTATTTTGCGTGCTATCCAGACAAATCATACCTTACATAATGACATCAGAGAAATAAAACAGATTACAGAATATAGTGTTACAGCTACGGAGAAAGTGCAGAGAATGATCAATTCTCATAAATGAGAGGTCTGCTCGTAAGTCTGACAATAACAGGGAAGAAGCTATTCTTGAACCTGTTGGTATATGTTTTCAAACTTTGTATCTTCTGTCCAGTCGAAGAGGGTGGAAGAGAGTATAATGGGGGTTGGAGGAGTCTTTGATTATGTTGGCTGCTTTCCCCAGGCAGTGGGAAGTATAGAGTCTATGGAAGGAAGGCTCATTTTCATGATGGACTGGATTGCATTCACAACTCTCTCTGATTTCTTGCGGTCTTAGGCAGAGCAGTTGCTATACCAAGCTCTGATGCATTTGGATAGGATGCTTACTATGGTACATCTATAAAAATTGGCAAGAGTCTTGTGGACATGTTAACATCCTTAGCCTTCTGAGGAAGTAGAGGCTTTGGTGTGCTTTCTTAACCATAGTGCCGACATGGGTGGACCAGACAGATTGTTGGTGATCTTTTCTCCTGAAAACTTGAAGCTCTCGACCATCTGCAGCTCAACACCGTTGAAACAGACAGGGCTGCATCCTTCATTCTGCTTCTTGAAGTCGATGACAAGCTTTTCTGTTTTGTTGACATTGAGGGAGAGATTGTTGTCTTCACACCATGCCACTAAGTGCTCGATCTCTTTCCTGTACTCTGTCTCACTACTGTTTGCGATCCGACCCGCTATGGTGCTATCATCATCAAATTAGTAAATGGAGTTAGAGCAGAATTTGACCACACAGTCTTGATTGCAAAAAGAGTATAGGAAGGGGCTGAGTACACAGCTGTGCGAGGCACCTTTGTTTAGGATTATTGTGGAGGAGGTGTTGTTGCTTATCCTTATTGATTGTGCTCTGTGGATCAGGAAGTCAAGAATCCAGTTACAGAGTGGGGAGAAGAATCCTAGGTTTTGGAGTTTAGAGGTGAGTTTTATTGGAATTATGGTGTTTGAGTCTGATGTAGGTATCCTTGCTGTCCAAATATTCCAAGGATGACTGAAGGGCCAGAGAGATGGCGTCTGCTATGGGCCTGTTGCAATGTTAGGCAAAATATAGTGGATCAAGGCAATCTGGGAGGCTGGAGTTGAATTGTACCATTACTAACCTCTCAAGTTACTTCATTACAATGGATGTCAGAGCCACCAGGCAGTAGTCATTCAGGCTCATTGCCTGATTTTTCTTTGACACTGGGTTCGTAGTGATAGTGGACTTCTCGAAGCAGATGGAGACCTCACATTAGAATAAGGAGAGGTTAATGATGCCTGCAAATACTCCCACCAGCTGATCCATGCAGGATCTGAGTGCACAGTCGAAGACTCCATTCGGGCCAGTCGCTTTCTGGAATCACAAAGACCTTTTGACGTTTACAGCTTTTTTATGGTATTGAAATACAAACTTTCCAAACTGCTCTTTTTTCAGGGTATACATATGTCTTTTTTTAAGAAGTGAGAGCATACAGAAATTCTGCGATTACATGTCACTGGATTTGGTACTTTTAACCTGTTTAAACAAGGAGCCAATGTCAGAATATCATAATTAACAACACCACAACAACGGTATGCCCGTCTGGCCAAGCAAGTAGTTTGACATTATAGCAAATGCCTTTAATTCATATGTTTCCCTCCATTGTCTTCTTTCTCCCCACTTCCTAGTTCCTCAATTACCGCACCTGTTAATTACACAGTGGAGTGAAGTGAATTCGGCTGTGGAGTTTTGGAACTGGCCATCAGTGTTTACTTCACATGAGATACATATTTGAGGACGGTTTACAGAAATTGGAAGTCAGACTGAGGATAAATATTAGTGGAATTGATAACAATGTGAATGAGAACAACATAAAAGAAAAATGGAGACAACAAGCGTTCAAGACAAACAGGCAGAGAGACTAGAAGATTTGGAAAGTGTGAAACAAGTACAGAGGCAATTGTAAGAAGAGAGAGGTTTTAAAAAACATTTGTCTGTGACAGTAGGCAAAATATCAAAAGTCTAAAACTGGAAAACAAAAATGACAGATTACATTTTTGCAACTTAATCTTGGTTGCATCAACACATGCGGAATATGAATTTTGCTAAATATGCAAAGGATTTTGTTCAATGTAACGTGCAAGATTTCCTCAAAATGTTGATACATGTGTATATTGAGAGGTGGGAGTTTTACTTTCTATCCAGCATTCATGATTAAATTCTATCCAGGAGAGTGAGTCTAACAATACATAAAGATTGCATACATATTGCACTGGCTTGTTAAAAGACATAATTTCTATATAACTTATGAGATACATGAAAGAAATACAAATGAATTTTGTGTTTTCAAATTTTATTACAAATACTGAATTTTATTCTTGATATATTTTGTAATAAAGTAGAGTTTGCAATTATAAGCCCCTTTTCATGGAATTGTTCAAAAATAGTCTATCTGCAGAGATTGCCTAATGCACCCTGAGTCACCTTTTCCTGATTCCATTTCTCTGTTAGAAAAGGACTAAGTAATAAAGTCAGGTAAGTAGATGGTTTGCAGTGAGGTTACAAGGCAGTGATTTAATCGAGCCTTCTAATTACGTCATAACACAAGGGAGTGTATTATTTAAGTATGTCAGCTCAACCCAGAGATTGCAGCTAAATTCCTTACACTCACTGCCTGATTCTTACTCTTGTACATAACAGGATATCTGCTCTTTTGACTTTGTAGAGTGCATAGGTGTATTTCAATTGAAGGCTTCATTCATTTACATATACCTCAACTAGCTAATACTAACCAGTCTAAGAGTTCTG